AATACCCAAAAAAAAAAAAAAAAAAAGAAAGAAAGAAAGAAAAACGGTTGGGAAGTAGCTCAGTGTGAAGGCCCTGGGTTCAGTCCCCATTTACACACACACACACACACACACACACGCACGCACGCACAGAAACAAGCTTCATAGAATATATGAAATATGGTAAGAATCTATAAACAATAGTGCTGTGTGTGCTTTTTACATTTTTGGCAAAAGTGGCATTCTCTGTGCAAGTCATTCTCTAGCGCCTTCATTTGCTTGTTATGCTGTTTGGGGTTGTTGCCCTTTACGAATTCTAGTTCTTTCTGGTTTTACTGTCTGCTTCACTTACCTCTGTCTGATGTTTCCTGGTTTCCTTATTTATTTTCCCTTTCCAGTCCCGCCTCACCCCAACCAGAATGGCAGCTCCCTGAGGGCAGGGACTGTGTCTTGTTTCCTGCTTGTCTCCTGTGGGTAGGGTGGGCCTGGCACAGGGCGCCTACCAGGTGGGGAGGGGAGAGGGTAGTGTTGGAGGCCCTTGCAGGGAGGAGAGGGTGGATGCAGCCCCTGAGGGAGCAGATGAAGAGAGAGAGTGGCACTGAGAGTTGTTGCCTTTGGAGAGGGAAGGAGAAAGGAGGCAGGAGAGGAGCAGTCTAAGAATTGTTCCAAAGCAGCAGGCCCAGGGCTGGGCATGGTAGTACATACCTGTAATCCTAGCATTCAGGAGGCTGAGGCAGGAGGATTGCCAAGAGTTTGAGGTCAACCTGGGCTACACAGTGAGCTCCAGGCCAGCCTGGACTACTACCTAATGAGACCCCGCCTCAGAAAATAACAACCCCCCTCCAAAATTAAGGGACCCAGGAAGTAGAGGAGGAAGTGCTCTTGAGGGACAGGAATCTCGCTGAGTGGAGCAGTTGAGGGAATGAGGATCAAAGAAGGGTAGACGGCTGGGAGAGGACCAGAGGCTGGGAAGCCAGAGGGCAGGGTTAGGACATACAGAAGGCAAGCATTATAGAAGCCTGGCAAGAAAAAGAAGGAGAGCCAAGTTAGCAGGCCATCGTCTGACGGTGTGTTGGTACCAAGGGGAATGAGCATTCTGCAAGGTCGGAGCTCCCTGGTCTAGTGAGAAACAAATTGAAGAAGCTAAAGAGAAGAATCCTGTAGCAAGGAGGAAGGAACAAACCTGTTTCTCCGTATCACAGCCCTCGGTTACTCTCCCATTTCTCCCTCCAGAGCGTTCCTGCCCACGTCTAGGTCTCTCCCTAGAAGCTCCTGCTTCCCAGTTTTCCTAACGCTGCTTCCTGTGCTCCCCACCAGGCATTGGCCGCTGGACCAACCCCCAGTACCGGCAGTTCATCAGCATCTTGGAAGCAACACATCGGAACCAGTCTGCAGAGAACAAGGTGAGACGTTCTGGGAAAGGTGCCAGCCCAGTGCCCTGCTGCTGACTTCCTCAGGCTCCGCAGGAGAAGGCGGCCGCCGTGCTCTTTTCCACCTAACTGTGCCTTGGTCTGCACGCGCCATCTCAGAGGGCCTGCCCTCCCTACCGCTTCTCACGGGACATTCTGTAGAGCAGCCCTCTCCTCCTCCTCCAGCTTCCGCCTGTGAGCTTGCCCGGATGTAGAAATAGCCAGAGTGTCTGTTACAAGAGTTTTGTTTTGTCATAGCGACTCAGCTCTGTCTGTTTTCGTTGTGTGCGCTGAGCACCTTGCTGGCCTTGTTTGGGGACGGGACGAGATGGACAGGTATGGTCACTCCTGTGCTTGGGAACAGCGTGGCGCCAAGTGGAAGAAAAGCCAGGGCACAGTGTCCTTGAAGTGGTGCCAGGCCTGCTGGTGCTGGAGTGTGATTATCTTTGAGAAAGGGCTGTGGAGCCCCATAAAGCCTTTTCCTGTTGTGAGGGGCTCCTGGCTTCAAACAGCTGTGACCCCCGTCATCACATTAAGGCTGCTCCGCACCGCCGTGGCGGAGCCATGTAATTTAGTGATGCCACGTGCTGTGCCGCTGTCTGAGCCACTTGGCGTGTTGCACACACCTTTTCTAATCCTCACAGCAACCGCGTGAGGTGGCGTAATTACTCTCATTTGTGCATCTGAGGAAACAGAAGTGAAAAGAGGTGAAGTGACCCATGCAGAGTCACAAAGAAGTGGCCCGGTCTCTGTCCGAGAGCAGGTCTAAGCAAAGTCTGGCTGAGACCCGCTTTTCTTCATTTGGATTTGTCATTTACATATTTGTATAATTTCCCTGTTGCTCTCTTTTAATCAAGTTATTTTTGAAAATGTCGCAAAATTTTGGTGACAGAACAACCAAAAATAGCCCTCAAAATAGAGAGCCGGGAGCTCCGGGGGCAGGGAGGAAGCTGGCAGAGAGCGAAGGCTCAGTCACGCTGCCCACTGGAGGGAGGCGTGCGGACCAGCTCCGCAGTGACCGGAAGTGCAGAGGGGCCGCGTGACAGCGCTGGCCTGGGCTGCAGGCACCGAGGGGAAGGAGGAACAGTCAGGGCTTCACTCAGACAAGAGTCCGCTGTGGAGAGCCCGCTGACCGTGGTCGCGGTGTGCCTTGAGATCCTGTGAGGGGTCGGGCAGGGAAGGAGCCTGAGCAGCTGGCACCCACCCGGGCTGGGGGCCTCGCCGGAAGAGAGCGGACAGGCTGGGCCTGAACCTGAACCTGAGGAGCGCTGCCTTGCCTGGTGGCTCTGCTCCTTCCTCGGTGTCCCCAGGCTATGGGGGGCTGGGCCTGGATGCCGTGGGGCTTTCTCAGGACCTGCACCAGTTCTCAACCCCCTTTTCTCTCCTGCTTTCTTGCCCTGCCCACCACAGAGGCAGCTCGCCAACTACAACTTCGACTTCAGGAGCTGGCCTGTCGACTTCCACTGGGAAGAGCTGAGCAGCCGGTGAGGGCCCGTCCTTCCTGGGAGCTGTCCCAGCGGTCCCTGCACTGTCCTGTCCGCCTGACTCCCCCATCCTGTTTCCTCCCTCAGGAAGGAGTCCCGAGGGGGCCCTTCCCGCCGGGGAGTGGCCCTGCTTCGCCCGGAGCCCCTGCACCGGGGAACAGCAGACACCTTCCTCAACCGGGTTAAGAAGCTGCCTTGTCAGATTACCAGGTGGGAAATAGCAGCGCGGAGGGGATGGGACGGCCCTCGGGACCGGGTGCTCCATCGTAAAATAGTTGATACTTACTGGGCTGAGCGCCTCCAGCTTTGTGTGTGTTGTTTTATTCACATTTATGTGTGAAGAGGAGGCTCAGAGAGGTCCAAAGTCTCACAGGTAGTAAATGAAGAACTGGGCAATTCCGTCTGACACAAAAACTCTTTCAACGAGGTTGGGAGGGTGCGGTGGGGTTGGGGCGGAGAGGAGCCAGCTCTGCCCGATCACCGCTCTGTGGCCAGCCGGGCCCCACTGCCCCTGGGATCTCCTCTGCCACAGTGCCTGCTTTCTGCCTCTGGGAGTAGCCTGCCTCAGAGCAGGGCTGAGATCGGTAGCGTGGCTTCTGAAGGGCGGACACCTTGCCCGAGTGGCTGAGTGCACAGTAAAGTTGCCGAGTCCTGGGTGCTGATGTCAGGGGTAATGGCAGTGACCACTGCCGTCCTCTGTGGAGCACATGCTCGGAATGATCTGTGGCTGTGAGAGGTGGGCAGCAGGTTCAAGAATCCCAGGGAGGGGTGGGCTGGGTGGTTGGCCGTGGCAGTGTGCCCATCAGTCTGACAGGAAAGCCAGATGTGAGGGTTTGGAAGGGACCCTGGGCAGGGTTGTACAGTGTTTGGGGGACAGATCCTAGTTCAGGCTTTACTGGAAGTGGTTACTCATCTTTTTTAGGAACGGCACCTACATCTTGCATTTCGTACGTTCTGGGTGTGAGGGCCATCTGGCTGTGCCCCCGCCATTGTCAGGGTGGAGTAGTGCGTTTGCTTACGTGTGTGTTAAGTCCTGCCCGGCGCAGTGCTGGGCACATCCAGGGTGGCAGCTGTCGGGCCTATTGCAGGACACCCAGGTTCCTACCCCAGCAGAGTCTGTTTCAGACTTTGGATCTTGACCCAGTAGTGAGTCTTGAAATTATTTGAGTATTAAAAGCATTATTTTACAAATATTATTTATTTGGAGACTCATGGGGCACTGGGGATTGAACCCAGGGCCTTGCGCATGCTGGGCAAGTGCTTTGCCACTGAGCTACCTCCTCCAGTCCTACCTGAGGGCATTTAGTAAGTGGTGTTTTTGCACTAACACAATCATGTTTGATAATAACTTTGCTTTTACTTACTCTACATAAGAAGTATTATCTTGTAAGTGTCTCAGAATATAAACAGATGGTCTCCAACTTGCCATGGTAACGTATTTCAGATTTTGTGGGGCTGCGGCTGGCCTCAAGTTCATGATCTCCCTGCCTCAGCCTCCTGAGTTCTGGGATTATGGGCTGTGCTGCTGCACCTGGATGGGGTTTTGTTTTATTTTGTTTTGGTGGGTTTTTGGTTTTTAGTTTATAAACGACAGAAATTTGTTTCCCACAATCCTGGACACTGCAATGCATGATCAGGCACCAGCATATGCGGTGTCTGACGAGACCCATTTGCTGGTTTATACAGGCATCTTCTTGCCATATCCTCCCAGCTCTCTGGAACCTCACTGATTGATTGACTGGGACAGGGTCTCACTGTGTAATTCAGGCCTATCTTGAACTTGCTGGCCTCTAACTTGGAGCAATCCTGCTGCCTCAGCCTTCTGAGTGCTGGGGTTACAGGCATGTGCCACTAGAGGCCTATACCACCATGCACAGCCATACTTCAAATTTTGTTTGGTTTTTTTTTGTTTTTTTTTTATACTTGGGATCAAACTCAGGACCTTGTGCTTGTGAGGCAGGCGGCGGCACCCCTGAGTTATATCCCCGGCCCAAATTTTGGATTTTTTAGGGGGAGTACTGGAGATAAAATGCAGGGATGGTCTACCACTGAGCTATATCCATAGCCCTCTTACTTCTTTTTTTTTTTTCATTAAGTTTATTGGTACATTTAAGGTAAACAATACAGTTACATTCATCATTGGGATATTGGGATCTTGTACCTTACCCCTTAAATTCTGTTTTGTTTTGGTTTGGTTTTTAATTTTGAGCCAGGGTCTTGTCAAGTTGCTGTGGTGAGAGTGCAGTATTTTTTGATCGTCCTCAGCCTCCCCCAGCGCTGGGCCTGGAGGTGTGTGGCACTGTGCCAGGCTTAACTTGGGCTGAATGATGCACAGTACCATAGTCTCGCAAAGTGCTGGGCAGCAGAAGGGAGTCGGAGCTGCAGCTGCCATCCGGGTCCTCCACAGGGTCCTATGCGATGGCATTTGTCATGTTAGGTGTATTAAATGCATTTTCAGCTTTCAGTGCTTTATTGGGGTGTAAGCCCATTGTAAGTTGAGGAATAGCATGTGTGTGTGTGTGGGTGTGTTTATTGGGGTGTAAGCCCATTGTAAGTTGAGGAATAGCATGTGTGTGTGTGTGTGTGTGTGTGTGTGTGTGTGTGTGTATGTGTGCGCGTGTGCGCGCTAAGCCAGAACATAAAATTTATATCTTCATTAGCCTGGTACATATTTTATTAAGTCCTAAAAGAGGACAGGGAAGCTAGGAAGGTAAAGTGAAACAGGCCCCAGAATCTGAAGGTCTAGGCTGGAGAGAGTCCCTGGGCCCAAGGACTTTGGCACTCATTAACCCACGTTCCCCACAGCTACCTGGTGGCACACACGCTGGGGCGCCGGATGCTGTACCCTGGCTCGGTGTACCTGCTCCAGAAGGCCCTGATGCCGGTGCTGCTGCAGGGCCAGGCGCGGCTGGTGGAGGAGGTGAGGCTGCCCCACGCCTTCCCCCTGGCCTCCTCCTGGGGACTCGGCCTCCTGCTCCTCACGCCCCACTGATTTCTCCCCTGCTCAGTGCAATGGGCGCCGAGCAAAGCTGCTGGCCTGTGACGGCAACGAGATTGACACCATGTTTGTGGACCGTCGCGGGACAGCTGAGCCCCAGGGACAGAAGCTGGTGAGAGGATTCAGGGAGCCCAGAGGCAGAGGATGCGAGGGTAGAGGTTCTGGGGACCCTGGTCCTTTAGATCCACTCTGGAACCACAGGAGGGAGTAATCCCTCCTCCCAGCTCCACCCGGGAGACCTTTGGAGAACAGATCTGCAACTGCCTCTGCCTGGCTAATCTTCCTGGGGTCCCCCTACCCTCCAGTTCCCTCCTGACCAGCACCCTCCCAGCCCTTCCGTCTACCTCCTCCCCAGGTGATCTGCTGCGAGGGGAACGCGGGCTTCTACGAGGTGGGCTGCATCTCCACGCCCCTGGAAGGTAGGCTATCAGGCCCTTGCACCTCTGCCCTGCAGAATCTCCCCACCTCCCCAGCTCCACTCCCCTGGGCAGGTCTGAGTCTCCCTGGGGAAAGTCCACTTCTTGCTTTGATAGCCTTGCATTGCTCCCTGGGGCTGTCCCTAACTCGCTATGCTCTTGTCCTGTTCCACCCCACACAGTCTCACCTCTGCTCGGGCCTCACCTCTGACCAGTCTGAGCTGGAGGGCCCTTCTGCCCGCTTTCCCCAGGCGCAGAGCACACCAGTTCTTAGCCCCTTCTCTTCCTGTATTACAGCTGGATACTCAGTCCTGGGCTGGAACCATCCAGGCTTTGCTGGAAGCACGGTGAGACACCTCCCTTTTCTGTCTCCCTCTGGTCAGCCACTGGCACAGGGAATGGAGAGCTTTTGTGCGCGGTCTCCCACTCACACAACCTGGGTGCTGAGGGCCTGGAGGCTGGGAACGTGCAGGCGTGGGGTGGCCGACAGAGAGAGGCCGTGCGTGTCTAGACATGGGAGGAAAGCACGGCCCCTCCCACCACCCTTTCCTTCACACCTGTTTTGTTGTTTTTTTTTTGTTTTGTTTTTTGGTACCGGAGATCGAACTTGGGACCTTGCACTTTCGCGGCCGGCGGTGGCACCACTGAGCTAAATCCCCAGCCCCACCACACACCTGTTCTGTACATCATGAGCAGCGGCAGGGAGATGGCCGCTGAGCTGGCCTTCGCCCTTCCTCCTGCAGGGTGTGCCATTCCCACAGAATGAGGCCAATGCCATGGATGTAGTCGTCCAGTTCGCCATCCACCGCCTGGGCTTCCAGCCCCAGGACATTGTCATCTACGCCTGGTCCATTGGCGGCTTCACTGGTACCAGCCTCCCTCCCACTCCCCACGTAGACACATCTGTGCCCTTTCCCCAAGAAAGGTGGGACCTGCTCTGGTGCTCTGGGGGTCAGGTAGAGGCTGAAGGGAGGAGGAGGAAAGGAGGAAGTGAAAGGTGGTCTTTCCCTGATGCGTCTGATCGTTAAAAGCTGACCAGGCCTTGGGGCCGGGCGATCAGGGAAAGGAACTGTTTTCCTGCCTTCTATCTCCCCGGCACTCGGATGTTCTGTCTCCACCCTGGCTGAGTGAAGTGGGTTCGGGAGATACAGGGAGCATGGGGTGGTCCCTGGGGCGGTGGGGTAGCAGCCAGGGGCCCCTCAGTCCCTGTCCTCTTGTTTGGTACCAGCCACGTGGGCAGCCATGTGCTATCCCGACGTCAGCGCCCTGGTTCTGGATGCCTCCTTTGATGACCTGGTGCCCTTGGCCTTGAAGGTTATGCCGGACAGCTGGAGTGAGTGCAGCTCGGCGGCCTTCCAGGGTGGGCGGGCTCTGCTAGACCCGAGTAGGTCCCCCGGGCGCCTGCCTCATGGCCCCCAGGGAGGCCTTGGTCCTGCCATCCCTTCACCTCCGTCCCCCTCCAGGGGTGCTGGTGACCAGGACAGTGAGGCAGCATCTCAACCTGAACAATGCGGAGCAGCTGTGCAGGTGAGGGCTGTGCAGGTGAGGGCTGGGGCTCGGCCCCACTCGCCCACCGCACCACCCGGCTCTGCTGGCATCAGCACGAAGGGAAGGCCGATGGATGCCCCTGCCCGCGTCCCTAGTGACCCTGCCCCACCACGAAGGCTCAGCCCTTTCCAGTCCCCGAAGCCCTGCACCTCCTCATGATCTGGCAAGCAGGGTGCGGGTGGCGGTGGGGCAGCCGAGGCAGTCCCGGTTCTCAGCCCCGCCCTGGCCCCAGCTGAAGAGCCCCAGGCCCTGCTGGGGGGGCGTCCTCACTGTCACCTCTGCCTCTGCGCTCTCCCACTGCCCGTCCTGAAGGTACCAGGGCCCGGTGCTGCTGATCCGGAGAACCAAGGACGAGATCATCACCACCACGTGAGTGCCGGAAGCTGCCTCCCGGTCTCTGCCCACCACAGGCCCAGCCTCCAGCCCCTCCAGAGTAATCTTGTCACCCCCAGGGTTCCTGAGGACGTCCTGTCCAACCGAGGCAACGACCTCCTGCTGAAGCTCCTGCAGTTCCGGTGAGGCGGGGAGGGAGCGGGCAGGGCAGCCCCGGAGGGAGGGACCCGGATGGAGCCCCCTCCGATCCCCTCTGCAGGTACCCGCGAGTGATGGCGGAGGAGGGCCTTCGGGCGGTGAGGCAGTGGCTGGAGGCCTCGTCCCAGCTGGAGGAAGGTGAGGCCGGGAAGCCGGTGGGGGCGGAGCCCGGCGAGCCGCTCGCTGACGCCCTCTGCCTGGCAGCCTCGATGTACAGCCGCTGGGAGGTGGAGGAGGACTGGTGCCTGTCGGTGCTCCGCTCGTACCAGGCAGAACACGGGCCCGAGTTCCCCTGGAGCGTGGGTAAGGGGTCCGGGGGGCGGGGAGGCCCGGGAAGGGCGCGGCCGGTGCTGAGCCGCTCCTCTGTGCAGGGGAGGACATGAAGGCAGAGGGCCGCCAGCAGCTGGCCTTGTTTCTGGTGAGCT